GATCTGCCGATCAGCTGTTTGTCGGCAGATCGGGGCAGTCTGGACGCGATGCGCCGACAAAGAAGCCTTTCTTCATCGGCACAGGTAAACCGATTTGCATAGTTTATTTTGAGTTAAGGCCTGCTGAGTAGACACACACTTAGAGACTGACAAAAAAATGTAGATCGTATCATGAGCTTCTGTGGACACAACCCACTTCTTCAGATGAATGGAGCAAAGTGCCAAGAGGTTCAAATAAATAGCAGAAAAAGAAGAGATGGGGAGAGAAAGAGAAGGAATTTTTTTTGTCAGTTAGAGTGTCCGTGCTAAATTAGACTAATAGGGTACGTCTAGACTACATGACTCCATCGACGGAGCCATGTAAAATAGTTTACTTGGCATAGTCAAAGAAGCAGGAATTTAAATAACCCCCACTTCGTTAAAATAAAAATGGCCTCTGCGCTGTGCCGATGATCAGCTGATCCGGCACAGCATGTCAGTCTAGACATGGCGCGGGTGACAAGGGAAGCCTTTGTCAACCACTCCGGTATGCCTCGTGAAACAGATCAGCTGATCGTCGGCACAGCGCGGCGGCCATTTTCATTTTAATGAAGCAGGGATTATTTAAATCCCCGCTTCTTTGACTATGCGGAGCCATGTAGTCTAGACATACCCATAGAGTGGTCTGTAAGTGCATGATACTTTGCCTTTGATGTCATTACGGTGTTGATTGTAGCAGCCCATCCAGTTCATGTCTTTGTTCAAACCTTGATTAAAAGTGTCAAATTTGCAAATGAAGGAAAGTTCCTCAGCTTCTCTCTCCAACTGGTTTTTGAAATTGCTTTGTAATGGTATAGTCACTTTTAGATCCATTAGTGAGTGCCCCTGAAAGTTAAAATGTTCCCCAACATATTTCTGTGTGTTACACAGAATATCAAATATCTGATTTGTGTTGATTAATTATTTGTTGTAGAGACTGTCCAGTTTGGCCAATATACATGGTAGAGGTGCATTGCTGGCACTTGATAGCATAGATCACATTGGTGGATGTGTCGTTGTATTAGCCCTCTAATGTGGTAGCTTATGTGGTTAGGTCCTGTGATGATGTCACTTGTTTAGATGTGTGGGTAGAGTTGGCACCAGAGTTTATTGCAGCGGTGGGTTCCTGGGTGAATATGATGGAGATGTGCTGCATGGTTGCTGGAAAGAATTTGAGGTTAGGGGGTTATCTGTAGGTGAGGACTGGCCTGTCTCCCAAAGCCTGTGAGAGTGAGTGATCATTTTCCAGGATTGGTTGTAGACTATTAATGATGCACTGGAGGGGTTTAAGTTGGGGGGCTCTAGGTGATGATCTATGGTGCTCCATTATTTTGTTTGTTGGTCCTATCTTGAAGAAGCTGATGCCTGGGTACTGACCTGGCTCTGTTAATATGTTTTTTGACTTCCCCAGATGGGTATTTCAGTTTTAAGAATTTTTTATAGAAATCCTGTAGGTGTTTGTCTCTGTCTGTGGTATTGGAGCAACTCTGATTGTATCTTATGACCTGGATATAAACAATTGATTGAGAAATATGTCTTGGATGGAAGCTAGAGCCACGTAGGTAAGTATAGCAGTCAGTAGGTTTCCAGTATAAGTAATGGAAATGTGGCTGCTGTCTAATTGTACTGTAGTATCAAGGAAGTGGATCTCTCGTATGGACTGGTCCAAGCTAAGGCTGATGGTGGGGTGGAAGTTGTTGAAATACTGTGGAACTGTTCATGAGTCTCCTTCCCATGGGTCCATATGATGAAGATGTCATCAATGTAGTGTAAGTAGAGTAAGGGTGCTAGGAAGCACCAGCAGAGGAAATGCTGTTCGAGGTCAGCCATAGAGATGTTGGAATATTGTGGGACCATGTGTGCACCCAAAGCTGTGCTGCTGAAGTGAAGACATAAATTGTCCCCAAATTGGAAATAGTTGTGGGTGAGGACTGTCATGATTATGAGGGTTAGCCAGCAGCCTGGGGATTAAGGGATTAACTACACCTAGCCAGGTGGAGTGACCAATAGGAATGTAGGTGGGACTTTTCCAACTGGGACAAAGGAATTTGGGTTTTTTTTTCTTGCTCCCTTTTGTCTCTCTGGGTATGTCTACACTACCCCGCTAGTGCGAACTAGCGGGGTAATGTATGCATACCGAACTTGCTAATGAAGCCCGGGATTTGAATTTCCCGGGCTTCATTAGCATAAAGCCGGCGCCGCCATTTTTAAAAGCCGGCTAGTGCGAACCCCGTTCCGCGCGGCTACACGCAGCACAGGCTAGATAGTTCAAACTACGTAACCATTCCGAACTATCTGTACTCCTCGTGAATTTTAACAGAATACAACAATAGGCAGGAACTGATTAACTACATTGTTAGCCTTCAACAATATATATGTAAACACACAAAATCAGAAACACTATCTACTATGTCTTTAAAGGTTGAATCTGTATCATTTTGCCTACAAGTTGCTTCACCCTTTTTGACTCTGAGAAACAGACATCGTACTGCAATAAATATTTAAATTTTTTAATGGAATCCCATGTGTAATGCTTTTTATTCAGAGATTCCATAGCATGTTACAGATATTCACTTAGGTTTAAACCACATGCCTACAAAATATAGTTAAGCGGTAGAGAGTAGCCATTTCACTGACCACTGACATGTGCTCATCTCTGGGACAGAACTCAGCAGCTGTTTATAGGACAGAAAGTAAGAAAGAGGGCTGTATTCAACTGCAACTGCAATTGAGATTTAGATATGCAGTATAATGTACTAACAGCAAATTGTAATTGAGCAGGAAAGTGGTTAATCTTAGAAAAAATGCCATGGAATCTTTAATTGCTATAGTTTTGTGGTCAGTTTTGTGCCTCATGCTCTATTTTAAGCATGTACTTAAATCCATCTCTATTCAACAAAACATTTTTGCATGTGGTAAAAAATTATCATGAAAAGTTAAGCATATGATTGATGTGGGGCCTTTCCTTTCCTTCTGTCTAATTTTTGAAGTGTCAAAGGATTGTGCCTCCCTTGAGACACTTTTACAGATTGATAGCATTCACTCTGGACTTCCAACACTCCGGTCATCTGAAGAAGTGGGTTGCGCCCACGAAAGCTCATGATACCATCTACATGTTTTGTTAGTCTTTAAGGTGCTGCTAAATATTTGCTGTTTTTTACATTTTTCCTGCAAAGGAGCTGATAGTCAAATTAAATTTACATTTTCCTAGTTTGGTCCTTTTACCTTCCTCAGATTAACAGATAATTTGCACAATTAATGTATTATTTAATTGGATCTGCTTGGGGTTCATGTCAACAATTCTTGTTCAAAACACAAATACCATTGGCTAGGGTAATTTCAGAAATGAATGTCTCAGAGATAGCTGTGTTAGTCTGTAACTAAAAAAAACTTAAAAAAACAACAATGGCCCTGTAGCACCTTAGAGACTAACAAATATATATAAATACTATCATGAGTTTTCCTGTCATCTGAAGAAGTGGGTTGTGCCCACAAAAACTCATGATACTATTTATATATTTTTGTTAATCTCTAAGGTTATGGCTACACTAGCCACCCTAGTTCGAACTAGGGTGGCTAGTGTAGCCATAACCTTAGAGATTAACAAAAATATATAAATAGTATCATGAGTTTTTGTGGGCACAACCCACTTCTTCAGATGACAGGAAAACTCATGATAGTATTTATATATATTTGTTAGTCTCTAAGGTGCTACAGGGCCATTGTAATTGCAGGAGGAGTAATGGCAGTTCAAATTAAGAGTGTTAATTCGAACTACCTAGCCCGTGCCGCGTGTAGCCGCGGGCAGGCAGTTCGAGCTACCAGCCATTTAAAAATGGCGGCGCCTGAGAACATGCAAATGAAGCCCAGGATATTTAAATTACGGGCTTCATTTGCAAGTTCGAATGACTACATTAGCCACCCTAGTTCGAACTAGGGTGGCTAGTGTAGCCATACCCTAAGGTGCTACAGGACTATTGTTGTTTTTTTAAGGTTTTTCGGGAATAAAGACATTGTTAGCATTGTTTTGACAGTAATATTTCTGTCTTACAGGATGATGCTGATGTGGAATGGAAATTTGCTAGAGCTAAACTCTGGTTTTCCTACTTTGAGGAAGGGAGAACTCTTCCGGTACCCTTCAACCTAGTGCCTACTCCAAAATCTTTGCTTTATCTCTTACTCAGAATTAAAAAATGGATCTCCAAAGTGTTCCTATGCCATAAGAAAGGTTTTCAGGAAGATGCAGAGATGAATGAGGTAACTTTTCAATATAATACACCATGGATTAATTTTAAAAGTTAATAATAATTTTACTCTTTCACTGCTGTCAACCCCTTTTTGTAGGCACCTTACACTCCCTGTGCATTGGATAAGGGAGCCTGGCTGCCCGACTCTGGGCTGCAGATTCCACTGTGAGGCAGAGCCTCTTGAATTATGCTTTGGAATACTGAACCCAAGTCCCCCTAGTGGATCTAGCTTTAAAGTTTCAAAGTGTGGACCTCATTCTAAGTCTGTACCTTTTCCCTGTTCTCATTTTATGTGACATGCTTTTATCTGAAAAAAACTTCTGTTCTCTGATGTATTTAGGACACTAAAGTGCAACTGAGCTGATCTACTGCCTTATCTAATAGAATCACTCAGTCTGCGTCTAGACTGGCAAGTTTTTCCCCAAAAGCAGTTGCTTTTGCGGAAAAACTTGCCAGCTGTCCACACTGGCTGCTTGAATTTGCGCAAGAACACTGACGATCTAATGTAAGATTGTCAGTGTTGTTGCGCAAATACTATGCTGCTCCTGCTCGGGAAAAAGCCCTCTTGCGCAAATGCAAATGCCAGTGTAGACAGCTAAAAACTGCCGGAAAAAAGCGCCGGTCTAGATGCGGATCTTGCAGAAAATAAAGCCTTTTCCAAAGAGGGAAAAGGGATCTTTAAGAAAAGGCTTTATTTTCCACAAGATCCACGTCTAGACTGGCGCTTTTTTCTGGCAAAGCTCCATGCCAAAAAAAAAGCGGCAGCCATTTTTATGCTAATGAAGTGGGGGAGATTTAAATCCCTGCTTCATTAGCAATTGCGATATGTCTAATTTGCATCACTTTTACGAAAAATGAATGCAATCTAGATGTAGCCAGTATATATGTGCCATTGCTCCTCAAAAGGTCCCAGTGGTCCTGCAAGTGTAGCCACGCTGCTGCACCTTCTTTCGGAAAAAGATACGCGAATTGCGAAATGCAATTTGCATATCTTTTTCTGCTTTTTTTAAAGAGGCTTGTCTGAAATTTGGCCCATCTACACAGGGCCAAATTTTGGAAAAACTTCCTCTTTTGGAACATCCCTTATTTCTCATACAACGAGGAATACAGGGATGCTGAAAGAATATGTCAGTTTTTTCGAAAACTGTTCCCAAAAAGTGGATGCATTCCTTGGATATGGCATAGCTTTTCCGGGATACCGGAGGTATCCCGGAAAAGCTCTGCTGTGTAGATATAGCCATGGACTGTGCTTCACTGATCTTAGTTTCAGTTTGCACTGTCAGTGTAACAGTTAATTCTCATCCCCACCTTCCAGAACAGCCAAAAAGATTGTTTTCTTACACTGACTTCTACTTCTTCTGTTGCTGGAGGCAGCACAATTATCCCATCCTTGTCACCACTTGTTATATCATTTGGAGTTACAGAGTTTAGAAAGAAATCACTTGAAACACAGAGAGCTGTAAGCAGCTACAAGTGTCCATTTATTCCATAACAGAACTAACTAGAATCCATCCAAACTGGCTGGGCTGACCCCTAATGGTCTTAACTCAGTTAATATAACAACAAGATCTACAACAACCCAATACACAACAGTTACTTGCAAAATTAAACTAAATACATATATAATACCCACAATAAAATGCCACATTTTGCTTTGGCCTGGTTTCTAATGACTTCAGCATTTGCAAACCTCTTGTCAAGTTACTAAGTGCAAAGTGATTTTACAGCATCCTTGGGTGAGAAGGATGTCACTGAAATGCACTAAATTGCAGCAGATATCCGTGCTGCTCAAAATGGGCCGATAACAAGAAACAATAACAACAAGGAGTTTTGTTTTCAATTTCAGGTACAATTTTCAAAAGCACATAAGGGACTTAGGAGTCATTAAAAGTAATTGGCACTTGTGCTTCCAAGTCACGTCTTCCAAATCTTGTCTTGCACCCTATCAGTATTGGCCAAGGAAACCAAGTTTCACCTTTAACTGAAACCATATTCAATCACAGGTGATACTATGATACTAATTATCATATCCTTGGCTATTATGGGCAAGCCCTTAGAACTCCAGTCCTGTTTGTGTAGATTAAAGTACCATCTCTGACAAAAAGCCATGTGGAATATAACCTGTTGTTTTCCATAGCAGAGTTATTCTAGAATATCAAATGCTGAACAAGTGTACATTCTCTCCTATTAAGACAGCTATAAACATTTGACTAAATTAAAAAAAAAGAAATAAAGACTCTTCCACTAAAAAAGCCATAAATTCTCTGAGCTCACATCACCTGAATATTTAGGGTTCCCACCACCGTCTGAAACTGCTAACCAGTCAGTTTTGCTTTTGGAGATCCCTGTGGTTGGGAGCTGGCCCTACCTGCATCTATGACATGTCATCTCTCCCTACTTTAAAAGAAACAACAATAATTTTTGTTTCTAAAGACATTGTTTAGAATGACCATTATTAGTACATTATTTATCACTTTCCCTTTCTGGACATAGTAATGAATCATCTTCTCTCCCATCTAGACCAGGTATGAAAGATTCTTTATTATCCACAGAATGTCATCCACAATCTGCCTCCTAATAAGCTTTGCAAACTGTTAACCAGTTGAGCTGAAGATACTCAAAAAAGTAGTTTCAGTGGGCTGACTGAACAGTTTAAGGGTATGCAGGATCTGACCCAAAACTCAATGGCTGTGTCTACACTGGGCCACTTATTCCAGAAAAGCAGCCGCTTTTCCGGAATAACTTGAAAGCTGTCTACACTGGCTGCTTGCTTTTCCGGAAAAGCAATGACGATCTACTGTAAAATTGTCAGTGCTTTTCTGGAAAAACTATGCTGCTCCCAGTCGGGAAAAAGTCCTTTTCCGGAAAAACTATTCCGGAAAAGGGCCAGTGTAGACAGCACAGTAGTCTTTTCCGCAAAAAAGCCCCGATCGCGAAAATGACGATCGGGGCTTTTTTCTGGAAAAGCGCGTCTACATTGGCCACGGACGCTTTTCCGGAAAAAGCACTTTTCCGGAAAAGCATCCTGCCAATGTAGACGCTCTTTTCCTGGAAATACTTATAATGGAAAACTGTTTCCTTTTAAGCATTTCCGGAAAAGGGTGCCAATGTAGACACAGCCCATGTTTTTTACAAATAGATCCTTTCTGCTATTGCTATTGCAGGAGCAGCAGCACAATAGCAGTAAAAAGGAAAGCTGCATAGAGAAAATGTGGAAATTCTGTATGCAATGCCAACTCTTCTCATATTGCCATAGGCAGGAGACAAAGCCAGACCTTTGGGGTGTGTCTAGACTGCACCCGGAGCTCAAAATAAGCTGTGCAATTTGGACTTTACAATTTGCGTAGCTTATTTTGAGGCAATTTCAAAATAATTTATTTTGAAATTTGGCACTGTCTTACACAGCACTTATTTTGAAATAAATCGCTATTCTGAAAAGTCCTTTACTCCTTTTGGAATGAGGTTTATAGGGTCGTTGGAATAGTTGAGCCCATAATATTCTGAAATAACGGGCACGCAGAAAAGACATGGAATAGCTAGAGGAATCCCGAAATAGCGCTGCAGTGTTTACATAGATTTAGTGTTAATTGGGGAAGTAGCTTAAGTGGAACTCATAAAGTAGCATACTACAAACAAGTTTCTTTAGACCCACCTAACATTTAGAAATAAAGGCACAACATATGTTCCCTTCCATGGTATTTCCTCCTTTCTGTGCAGCAATAATTCAGGAAATGGTGCCCTAAAGGCTGTAATCCAGGCCATAATTCAATGTTATCCACTCCCCACATTTCTCTTAATTCTTGGTGCCTCATCACTGGAGCAGCATGATCTTTGCATCTCCTGGGACAGAGACAACCAACTCTGAACAGAGCCAAAGGAGACATCTGCCTGTGTGCAGCCTGCCTCAACTTTTTCATCCAGGTTCCTTTGGCTTTCTTCCCTTTATGGCAACTAATCAGCCTGGATCTGAAGTGACATTTTACAAGTGAAGAATCAAAAAATAGTAGTTTATTTTAAAATTACATTCATTGGTTTTAACCTTAGAATCAAAATTCTTTATGAAGTATAAAGTGCATTTACACTGCACCGTTATTTCGGAATAACAGACATTATTCCAAAAGAACAATGCAAGCATCTACATAGCAATTCTGTTATTCTAAAATAAATTTGAAATAACTGATGGCTTATTCCAACTTCTGTAAATCTCATTCCACGAGGAATACCTCCTCTTCCAAAATAGCTATTTCAAAATAGGGCTTGTGTGTGGACGCTCCTCTGCATTTTAAGTAATTTCTCTCCAGTGTTTCCTGGGGCTTTAAATCAAGGTAGTACATCCACATTAGGGGAGCTTGCCTCAGACTAATTTTGAGGCTTCCCTGTAGTATAGCCATGATATTTTGAAATAAGATATTTTGGATATATCTTCTGGAATAGCTTATTCTGAATTAAGCATGCAGTGTTGACGTACCCTTAGTCACTGGTTGCTGGCCAGCATGCCTCCTATCCATCACAGCTTTATTTTCTAATTTAAAACTGTCTTTAAAAACCCTTCAAGAATTGCCATAATAACAATGGTGACATTTATAATTACATACGGTATATAAATACATATATAAGAGATACCAACAAAAAGCAATCAATATCTTGTAGCTCAAAATTTTTTTATTTGATTTCCCAACTAAATGAGGTTTCCTTGAAGACTTATTACAAACAAATGCAGAAACATAATATTCATCATATAAAACTCTGAAGTAGAAAGAAGTACCTACTGGTTTTGATCAAAACCAATTCTGGTCTAATCATTTGCTAAATTTTAGCTTTCATCATTAACACCTTCTCACTCTCTGACTATTTTCAGTATTTTAATACATTTTCCTATTACTCACTGGGGCAAACCTTTAAAATTATTTGCACAAACTGAGGGAAAAGATTTACTCAATTTGAAATAGACAGTATTTATGGCACTTACCAGGGATCTTGGTTATAGTTCCTGCTTCAGTGAATATTTAATTATTTTACAAAGTGGAATAGCTCCACTAGTAGAATAGCCAATGGCCTGTCATTACGTCAATCATGAATAACATAGGCTCTGGTTCAAGTTACGGTGTTATTTTCATTTTTCTTAGGCTATGTCTAGACTGCAGGCTTCTTTTGGAAGAAGCTTTTCCAGAAGAGATCTTCCAAAAAAACTTCTTCCGAAAGAGAGCATCTACACAGCAAAAAAAAAAAAAAAAAAAAAGAGAGCAGCTACACAGCATTGAAAAAGCGATCTGCTTTTTCGAAAGATAGTGTCCACACTGAATGGACTCTTTCACACATTTAAGCTGGGATTACTATGGACGGAGTGGCCACTAGTGCACTTGTTCTTTTTCTTCTTTCCTCTTCATTCGAAAGAACTCCCTCTTCCCCACCCACACATGCCTTTTTCTGAAATAGCTCTTTCGTAAAAAAGCTTCTTCCTAATAGAAAAAGGTTTACCGGTGTTGGAAAAAACCCTCTGTTCTTTTGATTTTTTTTTCGAAAGAATGCAATTGCTGTGTGGATGTAAGTGAAATTTTTTTGGGAAAAACAGTTGTTTTTCCAAAAAAAACCTCTGCAGTGTAGACATACCCTCAGAGGTTTTGAATGGAAATTATATCCTGGACCCAAGTTACCTTCCCAATGAAAGTTTGATCAAAACTAGGACTGGTTTCAGTTCTGCTGAACAGACATTTATAAAAAACTAGTTTTAATTGTGAGTTGTTGACCAGTATTACCATATGTACAACGAGGAAGAATGGAATTGAACTATGAATTTTACTGTCATCATGGGTATTTCACAGTCATAAATGCCAAGGAAAAAAACTGTTATTTTTTCAGCTGGATAGCACATTTTCAAGGACTTTGTCTAGTCCAGAATTTTACCACTTCTCTGGAAAAAATATTGCACAATATAAATGAGATTACTGTTTGAATTTTTCCCTTGTGTTTACCCTACATTTATAGTATGTATTATTCAATTATATCTACTATTTCTTTTTAAAACTATAATTGGGGGCTGTGCCCCCTGCTTGCTATGTTCACCACCACCCCTCTCGCAGGGGGTAGGCAACCCTGGCTCTGCCACAGGCCACCAAGCGAAGGCTAGACTGCAACCGCGCCATTCCGGGCCCCTTGTCCCTCCCCCGCCTCCCTGCCACATCAGCCCAAATCCCTTCTCCTTTCCTCCCTGCTCTTCTGGCCATGCCAGCCTGGGCCCTTTCTCCTCTCTGCCCCCCAAGCCATGCCAGTCTGGGCCCTTTCTTCTTTTCCTTCACCCCCAGCCACTCCAGCCCATGGCCTTTCTCTCCTCCCTCCACAACCCCGGCCATGGCCTAAACCTAATACTCCTTCTCCCAGCTAAGGCTGTGCCAGGCCCAGCTGTGCTCCTGGAGGTCGGGTAAGGCTGGGCCATGGCACGCCATTCCCAGCTCTGCCTACAGCTAGGAATGCTGGGACAGCATGCACCAGGTTCAGTTCTGCCTTCAGCAGCCAAGGAAGACCAGTCCACAGTGTGTCAGGCCTGGTTCTGCTCCTGGTGGCCCCGGAAATCTAGGCTGTGATGCACCAGGCCCAGCTGGGGAAGGCCAGGTCATGGCTGCAGCACACTAGGCCCGGCTCCGTCCCTGGCGGCTGGGCTACAATGTGCCTGAAGAGGTCTGGGCTGGCAGTGAGTGGGGCTTGGCTCCAGGGACAGAAGGAACAGTACCGGGGCGGGGAGGACTTTTCTTGACCATGCATATCCCCCTAGCCTGTGGACACTGAAGTGATTACATCACTTTGTCATCCCACAGAAATTTTTTTATATACAGGCAGTCCCCGGGTTACGTACAAGATAGGGACTGTAGGTTTGTTCTTAAGTTGAATTTGTATGTAAGTCGGAACTGGTACATATTGTAGGGGAAACTCTAGCCAAACATTTCTCCAGAGCTCAGTTTTATTCTCCCACACCTCACTTCCCTCAGCCCTTTATTCTCAAGCTGAAGTGTCTGCTGAGAAAAGCCGCTCCACCTCTCCCTGGTCTGCTGGGCGGGGGGGACACTAGCTTCGCGTCTCCCTGGTCTGCTGGGGGGAAGCAGCTAGTGCGGGGTTGCCTCACCCCGTTTGTAAGTAGGGATCCGATGTAAGTCAGATCCATGTAACCCGGGGACTGCCTGTATATATCGAGAGAGATAATTTTACATTTATAACAATGTTTAGTTCTTTTAGACAGCTAATAGATAATCATGTTATATAACCCAATAGTCATATTTTAACAAGACCATGAAATGATTTACACAAAAATATTGCTTATATAATTCATCTGTTAATCCCCCCATCTCACAGATACACACAAAGTTAAACTAAGAAATATTTTGATGCATAAAAACAACAGGAAAATTCTGCTTTATTTACACTAGGGTAACTCCATTATTTTACTGGCATTATTTTGGATTTACAGTGGATGTGAAAGGAAAGTTTGCTTTTGAATTCTAGGAAGCAAGCTATATTAAATAATCCATGACAAAAAGCTGATATCATTTCATAACAAGGTTAATTGGAGGAAATTAACCAGGAAACTGACCAGCGGCTGACTACAGGAAGCCCGAGGCAGAGTTGCTCTGCCCCGGGCTTCCTGGAATCAGCTGCTGATCAGTTTCAGCAGCAGCTGACTTGGGGACGCCTGGTGTTCTTAAGTTGAAGCTGTATGTAAGTCAGAACTGGTGTCCAGATTCAGCCGCTGTTGAAACTGATCAGTTTCAGCAGCGGCTGAATCTGAATGCCAGTTCCCACTTACATACAGATTCAACTTAAGAACAAACCTACAGTCCCTATCTTGTACGTAACCCGGGGGCTGCCTGTATTCCATTCTGAAATTTTCGTTTATGTTCCTTTTTTTTTTAGTTGGATGTCATTTTTGTGCTTTGCTAATTTGGTTGTTATCTACTCATTGGGACATTGGTTCAGGAAAACAATTAAAGACTTAGTTGTCTGCACATCAGGTTTAGGTGCTACAATGGGCCACCAAAATCTCACCCTGCTTAGATGCTCTCTTGCCCTGTAAGCAGCTACACTCACTTAATACCTTGATTTCTGCTATAAAAGTCTCCTAGCCACCTGTGTTTCTGTTGCTGAGCATGCACACTGCTGACTCAATAGGCTCTGGGTGCCTATCTCACACCTAAGCCCAAGTTTGAGCTTTAAACCAGGTAAACATAAATGCTGCCCTGCCTACCTTGTCTGTGGGGCCCAATCTGGCAGATATGCACTCAGAATGCCTAACTCCCACACAAAAGAACCAGGTTTCCTTTATAACCTTTAACCCAATAGGTAGTATATTCCCCCACAAACTGCATCTGACAGGGAGACAGGATTTGAACAGGGTTTCTTTACCTTCCAGATGAATGTCCTAATCACTGGATTTAGAGAAATTCTCATTCTTTCATGAGCTGAATTAATTTTCATTATTTGAAAACAAAGTGGAAAAGCTTCAAGAAGAGAGACTGAGAGAGCCCATCATCAGAGTATCCCAAAGGACAGCGGTTAAGACATGGTGGGAACTTAAACCAGGGTCTCTCACATACTGGGGTTACTATGCTAACTGGGTTAAAGGTTATAAGGGAGGTTCTCCTCCACCATCTCTCAGCTATTTTGTGCAGATTAGTTAGGTGTGTAAGGAGTGTGGTTCCCAAATAGAGATAGGCACCTAACTGCATGTGAACAGTGGGGCTTAGAACACATCCATTATATCAGCATCGGCTATTGCCTAGCTTAGACAAAGAGCTGCCTGGTGTGCTGGCTTTGGTGGAGCCCATTCTTAAATGTGTTATATCTTATCATGGTTTGTATGGAGGGCCTGGATTCCTAATTCAGGCTTTGTGGATTCCAGTTCTTAAGCCTAAAAGTTTAGCATTATAATTCTGAGTGTTACATGTGAGATCTAGATGAGTTAAAGTGACTTGGCATGGTGAAATGCTGTCTCCATTGACTGTAATAGCAGTGTTGCCATTGATGTCAATAATGCTAGGATTTCACCCCTGAAATTTAACCTTCACCCCTACCATTAATTCTAAAAGTGAATGTTCTGCTGCAGAATGCTTGAACACGAGAAAATATAACCAAATAATCCTTAAATTTATTGCTAATGCTCATCAATCTTTTTTTATTTTAGATTGGACAAAGTAAGCAATCAAGTATAAGAAGCACAGATGATCTCCATTTAAATAGCTTAAGTAATCCTCCACGACAATACCAGGTAAAAGATAGTTTAATACAACTTGCATTGAAAAAGGAGTAAAACCATCAGATTAAATATTTAAATACAAATTGTGGTATTAGTTATAGTGTGACTCCAAAGTAAATCTAGTAGATGTAAATCCAGAATAATTGCGTTGGGTGCATGATTATGGTAGAATGCTTCCTATACGCTACATTCTGAGTGGAATGTTTTAAAGGCTAATATGAAAAACAATTTTAGTCAAAGGAAAAGACTGATGTCTCAGTGATACCGTGCAAATCAGCAGCATTCCTTTTGGAAAAAAATCCAGGTCGTAAACTAATCCAGATTAATTTTATGTGACACATTTTTTCTTTCTTATCCCTCAAGAATTACAAATCTCTATCAGCTTAATTCCATATTCTTATGGTACATTGTATGTATTCTTTGTTTCTCAAGAGGTCCTCAGTCTGTCTTTAAGAGTGCACAGTGGAGAAGGAGTATGTTAGGAGTCTTAGGCCAGTCCACATAAGCTCCAGAAATCACTACAACTCCTGCACTTGGAGAAGTTCAAAGTCATTTCCTTCATATAGTCATTTCCCACATGGGGTGGGAAAGGGACAAGTAGAACTGGCTAGCCAAATAAGAAGTGATATGACAACACAGCACACTTATTTGGCAACATTTAGGCTATGTCTACACTGCAGAGCTTTTCCAGGATACCGAAGGTATTCCGGAAAAGCTCTGCCACGACCAAGGAACACGTCTGCTTTTCTAATTTTTTTTTTTGGAAAAGTAGACACATTTTTTCAGCATTCCTGTAAAACTTGGTCTATGAGGAAGAAGGGATGTTCCAAAAGAAGGTTATTTTTCCTGACATTTGGCCCCGAGTAGATGGGCCAAATGTTGGAAAAGCTTCTTTCGGAAGAAAAGCGGAAAAAAATACGCACATTGCAGTACACAATTTGCATATCTTTTTCTGGCTTTTCTTAGCCTTAGAGTAGTGCCTGCAAAGCCCACTTAACACAGGTCTGAATAGCAGTGTAGCTAGTGAGGCCTGTCTTAAGTGTGTAAAGATGTGGATATGTATCCTCCAGGCTCTCTACTCAAACAAACTGTACCTCCCTGTCTATGCTGCTATTTTAGAAGTGTAGTGTCCTGCTGCTTGCCTGCTAGGGGAGTGTTTTCCTGCCAAGGGTAAAGGCTCCAGCAGTGTGGAAGGGGTCTGGCAGTGGAAAAGGATTGGACACATCCCTGCTATGACACTTTTCCATGAGGCAGAGAGAGGCTCCCACAGGGAGGAAAGACATAGATACTTTCCCAACTACCTAGCCCCTGTCAGCTAGGCCCTGACAAATAGCTCCACATAACTACATACCAGTTCACTCAGAGTATGTCTAAACTACAGAGTTTTTTCGGAAAAATGGCTGTTTTTCTGAAAAAACTTCAATGATATCCACACGGCAATTGCATTCTTTCAAAAAAAAAATCAAAAGAACAGAGGGATTTTTCTGACATTGGTTATCCTCTTTCTATGAGGAAAGAGCTCTTTCGGAAAAACCCATGTATGGACGGGGAAGGAGTTCTTTTGGAAGAAGAGGAAAGAGGAAAGAGCACAAGTGCCCTCGTGGCCATGCCATCAATAATAATCACAGCTTAAATGCAAGATAGCATCCATTCAGTGTGGACACTATCTTTCAAAAAAGCAGATCACTTTTTCCATGTGCTTTGGCAGTGTGGACACTCTCTTCGGAAGAAGTTTTTTTGGAAGATCTCTTCCGGAAAAGTTTCTTCCAAAAGAAGCCTGCAGGCTAGACTTAGCCTCAGAGTGGATACAGCCTGCATCTCACTCTGGCATGCAGTTACACATTCTGCTACACCTCAGTGCTAATGGTGTGTGGCATAGACATAGGCTAGGCATAGCTACCTCCTACAAAAGTGTATAGTAGCAAGTATGAAGATGGACTATTCAGGATCTCTTTCATCTCTGAGACAGCAAAACTTGAAAACAATGAATTCATTGTTTTTAAGTTTTTCTAGTTACAGATTAACTTGGCTACCCCTCTAAATCTCTGAGGGTATGTCTACACTACCACCCTAGTTCGAACTAGGGTGGTAGTGTAGACATACCCTCAGAGATTTAGAGGGGTAGCCAAGTTAATCTGTAACTAGAAAAACTTAAAAACAATGAATTCATTGTTTTTAAGTTTTTCTAGTTACAGATTAACTTGGCTACCCCTCTAAATCTCTGAGGGTATGTCTACACTACCACCCTAGTTAGAATTAGGGTGGTAGTGTAGATATACCCTGAGAGAGAAAGCCTGCTGGTACTCTTGTTGGAGTAGTGTGACTCCCCCCCGATTGTAGGTTATACCAGAGGATACAGTCTAGCCCAGAATGTGATGCCTTTGGAATGGCCAATCAAGTTATGATGGGCTGATGGCTATTAAGAACTTTCTCCATGAATATTAGGCTATGTGGTTTTTTATTTGGAATTTCTGTATTATTAAAATATACCACGGTGCCAGCTACATTGCAAACATGGTTATGTAATGATGCCACTGGTACAATCATCTATGTGGATTGAATTTAGTCTACTTGATTTAAAATATGAGCCTCTACTTCCTAAAGCACAATGGCTACGTCTACATTGGCCGCCTAATACGGAATAGGCATGCTAATATAGCACTTGGGAAAAGGCAAGTTTTTTTGGAAGATCTCTTTAAATATCCCCCGCGGCATTTGCATTTACATGGCTGCCGCTTTTTTCCGGCTCGGGGTTTTTGCCGG